TAAGAGATAATTATTGAAAAATCTAAGATAAGGATGGTATAAGATGAGTGAATATGTTTTGTTTGTGAGAGATCTATCATTTATAAAATAATTTCATGAAAAGTCCTTTCATTACTTTTGGAGAACATTTATTTCAAATTTACTCTTTAATTTATCTGTCGATTTTTCATTGACTTTTTGTTTAAATTTTTTTTTCTATATATTTAAATTTATATCTATTTGTTAAATTTTCTTTTCTATTTGTGTAATTTTTACCTGTATGAAAATTTTATCTGTTGAATTGTTTTCCTATGGGTTGAAATTCACACATTGGCTTTTTTTTTCTTTTAATCTAAATTTTATCTGTCAAAATCTTATGTGTCCAAATTTTTCTAGGCAACCAATCAGGGCATCCAAAAATACACTCCTATCTGATGAAAACCACCGCTAGATGATAGCAGATCTAGTTTTCCGTCGGCTGGACTAATATCTCTCTTAGATGAAGATGAAGATGAAGATGAAGATGAAGATGATGGTGGTGATGAACCCAGAAAACAAAGAAAATCAAAGCTCATCCACGGCTAATTGGTCTCAACTCCCAAGAGAACTCCTCGACCTAATAGCCAAACACCTCCACTCCGAAATCGATCTCATCCGATTCCGATCCATCTGCTCTTCTTGGCGATTCTCCATTTCCTCAAATCTTCACCCAACTCCTTCCCGTTTCTCAATCCTCCTAAACGAAGGAATCTGCGACACTTGCTAGGGTTTCTATATCTCCAAACGCACCATTTTTTGCTTCGGTTTACCCGAACCCCATCGCCAAACACCCCCTCCTCCGACGGCAGTGGCGTTGGCGGCAGTGGTGCGATGGCGTTAGATTCGTCTACAATGCTCCGTCGAGTCCGATGCACTTCGTGCTTTGTTCGTCTTTTCCGGTGTCTAAGTGGATAGTGTCGGTCTCGTTTGAGTTTGAATTTTTTACTAGATCTGGAACTATAGGTCCGGTATCGAAAGAATCGATGAGCTCGACCGACGAGCTGTTTCTGAACGGTCAGATCCAGCTGATGAAACTGTCCACACTACTGCTGGTTCTAGACGAAACCGAAGGCGATTGCGAGGACAATGAAGCTGATGAGAGGTTTCCGAGTTTGAAATGACGAGACAGATCTCTATGCAGAAGCAGAAGAACCAGATCTATAGGGAGAAGGCGGCAGCGATACCACCGGCTAATGGGGGAAGGAAGCGGTGGTTCTAGTGGCAAAGTGGACGGCGAAGATACGAAATCGACGGCGACGCTAGAGAATGACATAACGGAGGACTGGCAAGGCAGACGAGAGAGAGTTTTTTTGTTACAGATAAGGGAGAGTTTGAAGAGAGAGAGAAAGAGAAGGAGAGTGTAGTGGGACTGTGCTCACGAATCCGGATCCTCGGTCGCCCTTCCCTGCGGCTGTTCCCTGTAGCGCCCCAAAACAACGTCGTTTTGAGGGCAAATTTTCAAAAAAAAGAAAACGCAGAGGAAAAGGGAGGAAGGAGAGGAAGAGGGAGGAGGAGGAAGGAGGCTGCGAGCTCGCCGTCGCAGCTCGTCCCTCGCCGCCCGCCGTCGCAGCAGCTCCAACTCGTCGCAGCAGCTGCGACCGCCGTCGCCTCCGCCTCCGGCCCCGCCTTCGCCTCCTCCTCCTCCTCCCCCTGTGATTTTGGCCCCGTTCAGTCCGGCCCTTCCCTCCCTCCTCTTCCTCCTCCCTCTTCCTCTACCTTTTTTTTTTTTTTTTGAAAATTTGCCCCCAAAACAACGTCGTTTTGGGGGTTATAGGAAAAGGCCACCGAGAAGGGCGGCCGAGAATCCGGACTCATAAGGGTGAGCACAATTGTTTTATATTTTGGACAAACTTTATTTTATCCCCTTATAGTTTGGATCATGTGCGGTTTACCCTTTTAAGATTTGGAAATTATCATACAACCCCTATATGGTTTATGAACTGAAGTGTACCGTTAAATATTCCGTCCAACTTAACATTAAGTGTGAAACACGTGGCAGACATGAGGGGATTAATTACATACTCATTTTCAAATTTCAATGGGATAAATCACATATGAAATAAAACATAGTGAATTAAACATTAATATTTTAAAAAAAATTCCCAATATATAAAAAATAAAAAAAATAATTTTTTTTTTTAATCCCCTCACTATTTTTTCTAATACCATCGTTATCTCCTCCTTACTAATCCCCCTTCCAAAGGGACTACTATACCAACGGATTAATAGTCCCCTCCCTATCTCTCAAAACAAACACCCCATTAGTAATCCTAAGGGATTAGTAATCTCAATCCCCTCCCTATAACCCTAAACAAACGGGGCCCTAAACAAGAAAAACTCAAGAATACATTTTTTGTTCGAACACCCAGTTCTTAATTAGCCTATTTTGAGAAGTGGGTTATAATTCACTTTTCAGATTATAACACATTTCTTCTCTCATAAAAAAATAGTTTATAAACAATTTTTTACTAAAAAATTAGTTATAATCATCTTTTCAAAATACATAAAGGCCCTGTTTAGTAGACCTGTGAGAAAGTGATTATAACTCATAACCTAACAGCTTATAACTGTTAACATAAGCTGATTTTTGACTTATAAATTAAGTTTCTCCTCCCTCACTCAAAGAATAAGTTGATTTTTGATTTACAAAAAGCTATAAGCTGTATTGTTAAGCTGAACCAAACACATCAAAATAGCTTAAATTAAGTTAAAAGCTGAAATAAACTGAAAATAAGTCCTACCAAACAGGGCCAAAGTAGTGTTTTGAAAATTTGGTAAAAAATTAATGTTTTAACTTTTTTTAATTTATTTTGTCTTTTTATGAATAAAAAATATGAGAAATGATATGACTCATGAATAAAAAGCTAAAAGTTAGTTTTTTATTTGTTTCCCAAAACACCCCTAAAATGAGTTTGACATTGTCTTTTTTTAATTGATTTTTTTGAATTGAGATTTTTTTAATCTGTAGTGTGAATGCGCTTTTTTTTTTTTGCGGTTTTTTTTTTTTTTTTTTTTTTTGCCTTTGTGTGTTACTTTTTTTGTTTTATTTTGTTCTTTTTTAGGGTGATTATGTGTAGAAATGTACCAAAAAAATTAGACATTCTGGATCAACTCATCGTATAAAATTATATGAAATTAACAAACTGATCAGTCAATTTTATCACTCAATTAGTCCAACCTAATTGATTGATCAGTTACACTGCTGGTTAAAATTTGTTAATTCTATATAATTTTGTACGATGAGTTGGTGCGGGATGTCTACTTTTTTGGCACACCCCTACCAATGACTACCTTTGGAAAAAAAAAAAAAAAAAACTAAAAAAGGCCAACAAATAAAATAAAATTAAATTAAAAAAATTGATCAATCAATTTTATCATCCAATCAATTCAACCCAACTCACTTGCAAAATGTCTAGTTTTTTAGCACATCCCTATACATAAACTACCCTTGCAAAAAGAAAAGAAAAGAAAAGAGGGGAAAAAAAAAAAGCCAAACTAACACTTTCTTAAAAGAAAAGGAAAAAACAAAAGAAAAAAAAAAGAAAAAAAGAGATTCGAGGCCTAGGCATTTTCCTTTTTTAATTTGGGATTAAAAGGTTTGTTTGGTTTAGCATTTTTTTGATTTTTATAAGAGAAAAAAATAAAATAATTATGATTTAAATATAACATTTCATCTTAATGACTTATTTAGATTATTTTATCTTTTGTATTTTTTTAAACCCAATTGAATTAGCGAAAGGAAGGCAACAACTGAACCGTTTAGTATTACCAATTCCTAAAAATATCAAAAAAATAAAAAAAAATGTAACGCTATAATCAACAAAGACCTTAATCATACCTATTTTGTAATTTGTGAAAAACAATTGGTAAATAACAGTATTAGAGCATCTCTAACGTTAGTGGGCATTTTACCTATCTAAATATTACTATAAAGTATATATTTTATTTTGCCTATCAACTGTTTTATGTTTTTACTCCAATCATGCTCTTTATTTTAGCTATTTATTCAAATACTATTAATTTTATAGAATGCCACGTCAATAACAAAGATGGAGGGAAATGATCCTAATGATTAAACACATTTTGCCTAGCGTTGAAGGCTAGTTACATGTAGCTAGTGAATATGAGTTGAGCCAAAATGCCTACTCATATGCCTAGTGCATTGGAATTGAAAAAAATGAATCACACTAGGCATTTTAACTAACAAGTATTATATACCTAGTGCATTGGAGATGCTCTTAGATGGTAGTCATTTTTAACAAATAGTTTAAGTGACCATTTGGGAATCAAAGAAAAAGTTGCCTTTTCAGCATCTTCTAGCAGCCTATGCAGTTGAAAACGTCAAAACAGCAATTAGGAAGTGCAGAACCGCAAGGTGTAAAATTACATGTACTGCTCTCTATGTTGAGTGGGTAAAAAAAAAAAATTTAAATTAGATAAAGATATTTTAATTATTTTATAGTGAAGTGAAATCACAAATAAATATTAATTTTTAAAAAAATTCACTAATATCTCAAATCATTTTCAAAAAAATTTAAAAATTTAATTAAAAATTAAAAATTATCTTTTAACCATCCTCCTAAAACATCCATTCCTAAAAATAATGAGCAAAAAATAATATTAGGGATCATGAAATATATCATGAAAATTTTTCATCATTAGTATGTGATATTTTATTATATGTGTAATATATGAAATCACAAATAAATATTAATTTAAAAAAAAAATTCACTAATATCTCAAATCATTTTTCAAAAAAAATTAAAAATTAAAAATTATCTTTTAACCATCCTCCTAAAACATCCATTCCTAAAAATAATGAGCAAAAAATAATATTAGGGATCATGAAATATATCATGAAAATTTTTCATCATTAGTATGTGATATTTTATTATATGTGTAATATAAAGATAGAGAATCTTTCATAATCATTTTCATGATAATTTTTTTCACAACCTCCAACATTACTCATAGACAAAAGGAAGAAAAGTAGAAAAATAAAATAAAATAAAATAAAGAAAGCAGAAGGTTCCATCTCAGCTCGATCCCACACCACACCCACTGTCCAGCCCGACCTTAATGAACCCCACCCCAGGATCAGAGACCACGCGTCATTCTCAAACTGCGTCCGTATATTCTTCTCAAGACTCTTGCAATTTCCACTTTCCAGACAGGGAAAGGGTATATCTTCTATTACAAAAACAATAACAAAAAAACACACATACATACACACTGGGTTCTGCATATAGCAAGCTAGCAATAAAGCTGTTAACTGGGGCTAGGGTTTGTGTTTTGTGGTTGGAGGTTGAGCAGAGCAGAGATGGGGCGGCGCAGGGTGGAGCTGAGGCCAATCCAGGACAAGCATAAACGACAAATCACCTTCTCGAAGCGCCGACAAGGACTGATGAAGAAAGCTCAAGAACTCTCCGTCCTCTGCGACGTCGACGTCGCCCTCGCCGTCTTTACCAGCGGTTGCCGTGCTTATAAGTTCTCCGGCGGCAACAGGTACGCGCTCGCTCTCTCTTTCTCTCTCTCTTCAATTTTCAAATCTTAATGTTTGATTTTCCGACAATCGATGATTATCAGAATATTTTCCTGCGTCAGACTTTCCTTCTTGTTGTTGTCGCGTACACTTTTTCACCCGAGAGAGAGAGAGAGAGCGTAATAAGCAGCCTGAGTCTGTGTAGTGTAGAAAAATTATTGGATGGGACCAACCATTATTATGGTAGATCTGGGTCTATAGTTGTGGTTCGTACCACTTTGCTTGTGTTCGTACAATTGTCGTACATCGTCGCCATTTCAACTTTAAACAACTCTCTGGTTCCTGTTGATAACTTTTCCTTTTTATTTTTTATTTTTTTGGTTTTAAGTAAGGATCGGTTTAGCATAAATTAAATAATAAAAAAAGTTATTCAACTTATATAAATCGATAAATCAAAAAATATATTTTTTTAAAACATTCCAAACTAGTTTTAAAATTGTTCTGATTGCACTATTTTCCTGCATTTTAAGTATTTATCGTTTCGGATACTTAAAAAACATATAAAATCGAACCTAACCCTTGTTTGAGTCTCTCCTCAAGTCCGACAAATCTGCTGCTCGCTAATTCTTTTTTTTTACCTTTCTTTTTTTAATTTTTTAAAAAAACGTGAGATATAGAATTTCTGTATAAAATAATGTACTGCTGTTGTTATTGTTGTTATTGTTTTTTTTTTTTAATTTGTTTTTCTATAATAACGTATCTTTCATTTTTAAATAAAATAGGATAATAAATTTTGGTAACTTTGGTTTTAAAATAAGTTTGCTTTATCATTCATGTAACGTATAAATCTTCTGCATTACTAATTTTCCTTCAAAGTATGCATTGGGGGTGTTTGTTTCAGCTTTTCAGAGCCAACTTATGACTTTTAGCTTTAAAAAAATTATTTTGGACTGTTTGGTTAAACTTATTTCAAACAGCTTCTGATTCTAACAGCTTATTGGGAAGGGCTTTTTGACTTTTTGGCTTTTTTGACTTTTTTTGTGAGAGAGGATTGTAATGATTATGGATTTGATTTGATGTTTTGTTTTTTGTGGCTAAAATAGCCTATTTTGTTTTTTGTGGCTATTTTAGCCAAAAAAACCTGGGCTTTTTCTTGCCAAACGGAGGCTAATTTTCCTTCAAAGTCTGCATTGGGGGTGTTTGTTTCAGCTTTTCAGAGCCAACTTTTAGCTTTAAAAAAATTATTTTGGACTGTTTGGTTAAATTTATTTCAAACAACTTCTAACAGCTTATTTTAACTCAAAAAAGCTGATTCTGAAAAACTGTTCACCCCTTGCTTCTGATTATCAGTTTCTGCGTGGACATGTTAATTTATGGTTATACTCTTAAATTTTTTTATTTTTTATTTTTTTAAAAATAGAAAAAGACTCAAATGGACTGTAGGTTATTATTATTATTTTTTATGAGAAATGTAGACAAACAAAAAATAAAAATTAATTGAAAAAGCTATTTCACAGCTTATTTAACAAACACTACTCAACAACTTAAATCTATAATCCAACAGTTACACCAAACAGATTAACAACTTCTGATTAAAGTCATAATCTATAATCTGTTAAGCTATAATCTATAAGCTGTTTTAACAACTACACCAAACGGGGCCATTGTAAACTAATGTTTTAAGTTTTAGTACTTTACATTGCTGTTTTGTGTGTCCTTGAAAGAGATCTTCAACCTCCACGAGCCTCCATGGGTGTGGAGGATATAAATTCTCAAAGTTCCATATTATAAAAAGGGAGCAACTGGCCTCCGATCTAAGATCGGTTTAGACAGTATTGTTCGACTTGTGGAGGTCCACCACAGGTTCCGTTTTGATAATCTGAACCGTTCAATATGTAGAATTAGTCGAGCACTATATGTCTGTAAAAAATTACGTTGATCAGATATCGATAATTATATGATCAAATTAGTTTTGTATAAAAAAAAAGACGGCGAACAAATTAACGGTTGACAAAAAAACTGGTATGATGACATAGCTATTGATATCCGATCAACGTGATTTTTTACAGGCATATAATACTCGACGAGTTTTACACATTGAACAGTTCAGATTATCAAAATGGAACCCGTAGTGAGCCCTCACAGGTCGAACAGTACCGTCCAGTCCGATCTCGGATTGGAGGCAAACTGTTTCCTTATAAAAAATTGGGAGCAGCTTGCCTCTAGTCTGAGAACGGACTAGATGGTACTGTTCGGCCCATGAGGGCCCACCACAGGTCCCGTTTTTATAATCCGAACCATTTAAAGTATAGAACTCGTCGAATACTATATGTCTGTAAAAAATCACGTTGAATGGGTATCGATAGCTTTCATATCTTATCAGTTTTTTTGTCAACTGTTAATTTGTTCACCGTCTATTTTTTTTACATAAAATTTATTTGATCACATAACTATCAATATTCAATTAACGTAATTTTTTACGAATATATAATACTCGACGAGTTCTACATTAAACAATTCAAATTATTAAAATAAAATTTATAATAAAATCTTACAAATCAAATAATACCATTCAGACCGATTAAGAACTGGGGCAAACTACTTCCTAAAAACTGAGGCGTTAAAGACTTTCAAGTCGTCTTGATGAAAAATGGGCCTTATTGTAACAATTTTTAAAAAGACGTTAGATTTTTGTCGCCTTTCTCTGATAGGATTAGTCTATATGCTTTCTCTATTACACCAGCAAAGAAAAAAAAAGGTTTGTTTCTTCTAATTTTTTTTTAGTAGCTGTTGGACTTATTTATTTATTTACTTTTATTTACTCTCTTTATTTCAAAATATTAATTGTTTATTCTATTTTTTGTTATTTTAAAATATTAGTTTATTTTTAAAAATTAAAAATAAAAATAATATAAATTTTTTATTTTGCTTTTCTTTTAAATTCATTAACATAAAAAGTGTAATTATATCAATTAATATTTCTAAAAAAATATACTATCAAAAGGTAATTTTGAAGAATCAATTTTTTTTAATGTGCAATAATTGTACTATCAAAAAAAATTTGGATTCCTCAAAAGGGACTATTATTTTGGGACGGAAGAAGCATTCAGTGTGTTTGGTTTCAATTTTCTAAATTCAGTTTTTTTTAAATTGATTTTTTTTATTTTTTGTGTTTTTTTGCTTTTAGTGAATATTTTTAAAATTTTAAGTAATTTTTTTATTTTTTTAAATATATCTATTTAGATGTATCTAAATAGTAACATATTAGTGAAAAATATTTTAAAAAATTAATATATACACAAAATATGAAAAATATATTGAGTTTTTGTATTTTGTTTGTATCTTTTGTATTTAGTAAATTTTTTTTAAAAAAAAATTTCACAAATATTATACTTTTAATATGTATTTATGTTAGGTGTATACAAAAATTAAAAGAAAATTGCTTAAAATATTAAAAAATTCATTAAAAATAAAAAATATATATATAAAAAATAAAAAAATAAAATTTTTTGAAAAGTATTTTTTGAAAATCAAAACAAAAGGGTTTTCTTCGTTCTTAAACTATGTGATATGATCTGGTTATTTTTCAAATTAATTAGATAGCTCTCATTATTATTGTCAATTCTAAGTTTAATTGCATGTGGCCTGGAATTGCTCTAAAATAAGCACGGTAGTTGCATGGGGTGGGTAAACGCTGTCTCACAAAAAGTCCGTTGAAAATAACGCCAAAAGAACAAAGCAATAATAAACTTACTAAAATTGCTAAATTTGAGCTCAAAATTTAAGATAGTGTTTGGTAGAGTTTTGTAAATGTGATTTGAAAGTATGAGTTGTATTTTGAGTTTGTGTATTGTGAAATTATGATTTGAGTGTAGAAAATTTGTTTGGTAAAAAGTTTTGAAAAGAGTTTTGATTTAAGTGGAGAATTGTTGATGTGACATTTGATATGTGATACAAAAATTTACAATTCATAACTAAACATACAACTCAAAATTATTTTAAAGTACATAAAAAATTTTAAAAATTTCAAAAAATATTTTTTTCAATTATATAAATTAATTGCAAAAAAAAAATAATAAATAAAAATCACTATTCCGGTCAACCGGCCGGACGATTGACCGTCAAAATAGAAAACCGCAAGTGTTCTATGCAGAGTTTTGGAATCACCATTTGAGAACACTAACCAAACACCATATTTAAATTAAGGTGTGGAATCATGATAGAGCCTTAAACTTAACACTTTCACCATGACCTGGGTAGATTTGGTTGTTTAAGATCTCAAATTGGAGATTTTACCATTTTAGGAAATAACTAATTTGCTTATACTTTTGAAAAAAAAAAGCTTGTTTTTGGAAATTGTAAGGCTCTGTTTGGTTGTGAATTTAAATCATGATTCCACACCTTAATTAAAGTATGATGTTTGGTTAGTATTCTCAAACGATGATTCCAAAACTCTGCAAAGAACACTTGCGGTTTTTTATTTTGACAGACGCGTTTTCGTTTTTCAGAATTTTTTTTTGAAAATTTTGCCTGACAGGACGTCCGGCCGGTTAACCGGAATAGTGATTTTTTTTTTTTTGCAATTGATTTATATAATCGAAAAAAATATTTTCTGAAATTTTTAAAATTTTTTATGTACTTTAAAATAATTTTGAATTGTATGTTTAGTTATGAGTTGTAAATTTTTATATCACATATCAAATGTCACATCAACAATTCCCCACTCAAATCAAAACTCTTTACCAAATAAATTTTCTACACTCAAATAATAATTCCACAACACACAAACTCAAAATACAACTCATACTCTCAAATCACATTTACAAAACTCTATCAAACTCTACCTCAGCCTTCTAATGTTTTATTTATTTATTTATTTAACCATTCTTGGTTCATGGAAAAGTAGAAGCCAAATAGGTAACAAAGAAACAACCTAATAAAACATGTTAAAAACAATAATACGAAGATAAGACTATATTTGGATCTCATAATTGATTTTCAATGGGTAAACCAAAAGAAAAGA